ATGATGTTGATGATGATGATGATGATGTGATGATGATGATGTTGATGATTATGATGATGATGTGATAATGATGATGCTGATGATGATGCTGATGATGATGATGATGATGATGATGACGATGATGATGATGATGATGATGATGATGATGATGATGATGATGATGATGATGATGCGGATGCTGATTCTGATGCTGCTGCCGATGATGATGCTGATGATGATGCTGATGATTGTGCCCCACGGGAATGATCTGGCCCTTGCATCCGCTTCCTCCGCTCTGCAGGCTTTTTGGTTTAGGAGTGCATGGAGGCCTTCGGCCCTCTGCTGGCCACCCTTTCAGCCATTCGAGAGTTGGCCTTCTTCCGCGCCCTGACCTTTCCCCGTCCCGTGGACTGCCATTGCGAGGTGCCTGCGCCTGAGTCGGCAGTGACGGGCGAGTGCCGTCTGCTGGCAGATCTGGTGGTCCGGCCGAGCCAGTGCGTGTGCCAGTGCGACTGCCACTGCGAGTCGCAGAGCGCCTTGGGCGGCTGGTCCACCTTCCTCGTGCTGCTGCTCTTCGCCCCCGCGCTGGTGGGGGCCTTCCCTGCGGGCGTCGGCGTTGGGCGCGGTCTGATCCGCACATCGGCCCCGTCGCGCGCGACGCCCGAACCTGTCACCACAGACAGTGAAGGTGGCGACGCCCGAATGGGTTCAGCAGTTGAAGGTCGGCGATCGCGTCTTCGCTTGTTACTTCCAGGACGCGGGCGGGGCGGCGGTGGAATGGTACGAACGGCTCCTGTTCGCGCATATCAGGGGCGCGAAGCGGGTCGTGATCTCGCGTGACTTCGACATATTCGAGGAGGACCTTGCCGAGAGCGACGGGCTCAGGAAGTTTGGCGCTGGAGGCGCTCTGCCTGCCGCGCTGCGCGGTCTGCCCGTCTTCCGCGTTGACCACTTCGCCTTCGGCAAGGATAGGCAGTGCTACTTGGACACCAGCGAGGCGCTCGCCAAGGGGCTTTGACCCGCGGGTGGCGAGATGGTCGCCGCTCTTGGGCCGCCGGGCACAGGCGGCCCGCCAGGTGCCCCCGCGGGTCGCTGGGTCGTTGCCGAGAGCCGCGGCGGGCTGCAGGTGGGCGAGGCGCTGCTGGCGCACATGGGGGAGTGGCTCCACGTCTCCAACGACCGGTGCTTTTTAGTGTTGACGGACGGCGCGGTGCTGGCTGGGGGGCTTGAGGATTCCCTCCCAAAGGTGGCGCCAGCGACGGTGGAGGACTCGCGAATCTTGCCCGTGAAGCGCGATGGTGCGCGTCGCTTCCGTCGCTCCTTCGCGTGCGCCCTGTATGCCATGAAGGAGTTCGACTTCGGCCTTCGGCGCTAGCTGGGAGATCGAGGGGCCGCGCTCGGCGTTCTTCGTGGCGGAGCGCATCCACGAAGGCAACCAGGGGCCGGTGCAGCGGCACTGCTGGTGGCGGTCGGTGCTGGGGCTCGCGGCTTCAGACGTCGGGGCTGACGAACACTTGCTGCTGTCCCAGCTGATGGAGGTGGCCCTCACGATCGACCAGGTCCAAGTCTCCAACCTGGCCTCCTTTGAGCTCATCAGCCGCCATTACCAGATGTGGGGGAGTGCCTGCAAGGACCTGTTGCGGGAGGTTGATGCGGGGTCCGCGGGTGGTGACGACTGACTGAACGAGCGTTCCCTCTTCCCGGGGGTGAAGAACCTGCGAAGCAGTGCGATCGTGATGCCCGAGCTCGAGGACTTCGTGGCCAGGGAGCCTTCCACTCGGGCCGCTGTCTCGAAGGAGCGCCGCAAGGCGCGGGCAAAGGCCGCCCCGGCCAGGGGCGTCGGCGCCCCCTCGACGAAGCAGACCGCCAAGGGGAAGAAGGGCGGCAGAAGGGGGGGGACAGGGCTGACGGCCGACCTCCCTTCAGTCTCGCGCCGCCACGAGGGGGGGCGCCCCGCCTCCTCGAGGGGTGGCCTTTGGGCTCAGGGTTCGGCAGGTGGGGGCCGCCCCGGGGTGTTTTCAAGCTTCGCGCGACGCGCCAGCGGGACGTCCTGCCCGTCTCCTTGGCGGCGGCTCGGGGGTGCTGCTGGGAGGTGCGAGCGGCGCGGGGCTGTCGCAGAGCGACGGCGCGTCAGACCTCGCCGGGCACGAGAGGGCTGGCTGTTCGAGGGTATCCGAGCCCTCAACGAGCTCGGCGCCTCGGGCTCGACGTCCTCTCCACCTGCGTCGTTGACTTCAGCTCAGGTCTCTGCCGTTCGCCATCCTGCTCGTCAGTGTGGGTCTGTGGGCGCCGCCTGACTGTGGGTGCTCCCTGGGAGCGTGGCAGGCGCTCCAGGGCGCGCGGCCGGCTGCGCAGACGCCGCGTCAGCCGCCGGTGCTCGCGCGAACTTCGAGCGAGGGAACGCGTCAGTTCCCGCGGGGCTGTCGGGCCAGGCGCCGCTGAGTGAGCGCCTGCCGCCCGCCCTGCAGTCTACGCTCGCGGACCGCTCATTTTTTTTTTTTTTTTTTTTCAAACTGAGGAAGTTGCCCGTCGGAAGCGATATTTGGGAGCGACCTCTTCCTGGGCCCCGTGCCTCGGGACCAGCCTAGACTTGTCGGAGAGTTCGCAGCTGAACTCTGGGACGCTGGCGTGCTGGAAGCTAGCGAGGATGCGCTCGAAGAGAGCGGTGTGTTTCTCGTGCGAATGGAGTCTGGCGCGCGCCGTCTGTTTTGGGATACTCGAGTCCCCAATTTGTGGTTTACGGAACCCCCGTGGGGTGGTGTTGCCCTCTGGGGAGGCTCTCGCCCACTTGGAGTGCGCGCCCCATGTCGTCCCTGTTTTGCATGGGGGCGACGTTGAAGTGTGCTACTACTTGATTGAGCTCCCGAGTGAGTATAGGTGTTTTTTTCGGCCTGCACCAAATCCCCGCGGCCCACCCCGCTCGCCTCGTTGCCGCTTTGCCGGAGGTGGTTCGGAATCGCGGGTGGGCCCGCTACCAGGCTCGGGCGGCGCCCGCGGGGTGGAACTGGGCCGCGGCGTTGGCACGGGCTGCGAATGCACGCCAGCTGGGAGACGTTAACCCCGAGACCCCGTGGATTTTAGAAGAGGCCCCTCTCCCGCCTCTTGGCGACGTTGAGTCGCTGCGTGGACTTTACATCGATAACTTCGCGTGTCTGAGCGTGGACCCCGCTGTCGTCGATGGGGGCCGTCGTCAGGTTGAAAAAGCAATCGGGGCAGATGGGGGCGGCCTCGACCTGGGAAACGGGGAGTTTTGGGGGCCGCGGCCCCCGGCTTCGCGTTGGTGGGTTCGAAGGGGGAGTGGCGTCCTAAGACTGGTCGTTTCTGGAGGTGAAGCTCGCTTGCGATTGCCGACTGGGGAGTGGGTGCGGCGTCTCGGGTCAGGATGTTGAAGGGTTCGTCGGTCACACCGCGGCCCTCTTCTCTCTGGCTCCCAAGCTCCTGTGTGTGTGTGATGGAGAAGGTGTATGTGTTCATGCAGGACAGCTACGTCTGCCGTCAGCCTCCGTGGCCCTCGGTTGCTCGAGAAGTCCGCTGGATCCGTGCCCTGCCCCCTCTCGCCCGCCCCTGTATGCGGCGCCCCTGGAGAGATCGCGTCTTCGGGCGTGACGCGTCGGCATGGGTCTTCTGGGTTGGGTGTCTGCGATGCCCCTCGAGGAAGTAGTCGCCGTCGGCCGCGGGCGGGCGCGTTTTCGTGGGCCCCTGAGCGTGTCTGGGGCCCCTCGCTCGCGTGCTGTGGACCGCGAGGAGGAGGTCTGTATCTCGGGGGCCTCTGAAGAGGTTATCCGACATCTCGGCCGCGTGAAGGAGTTTGCTGAGGTCCCCGCCGTCTTCGCAGAGGGGAGCTGGGAAGTCGCCTGCGCTGGGCGGTGGAAGGGGCGCGCCGGGGTCTCAGGTCCAACTGGAGGCCCGAGCGCGGGCCTGGACTGCCCGACTCCTTGCTCGTGACTGCAGCCTCCATGGCTCGCGGGTGCTCTCGTCGGGGGGCAACGTGTTTGTGATCTGTGCACGTGCCAAGGGCTGCTCGTCGAACCCCGAGATGCACTTCCAGCGTCGTGCGTCGGCAGCGCGCGCCCCGGCCGTCGGGCTCAAGCTGGCGGGTCGCTGGGTACCATCGGAGCGGAACGCCCTGGGCGGCGCCGGTCGAATGTTCCAGCCGCGACATGGTGTGCGGCGGTCGCAGGAGGGATTCGTCAAGCACCGCCTCCCTTCCTGCAGCGCAGCTGAGGCTTGCGGCCCCGTCCGACTCCGACGTGGAGGGCGATGCGGGCCTGGGTTGCTCCGACGCTCCGCGCAGGCAGGGCGACGCCCGCCTCCGAGCACGCGGCGCGATCGCTGGGCCGAGCGGCCGCGGGGCCTCCCAGCGCACCCGAGCTGGTGGCGCGCCGCGGGGCCCCCGCGGAGCGCCCTCTGGCCGGGCCGCCCCCCAGGCCTCCAGCCGCCTGGCGCGGACCGGAGCCGAGGTGCGGCAGCGACTGGGCCTGGCGCCCGACTTCGCGCCCCTGCAGCAGGAGTGGGCGAGGCCCGACGCGCAGCGGGGCTACTGCGACGCGCTGGAGCGCCCGGGCCCTCTTCCTCGAGAAGCACCCGCTGCCGCGCTGGTCGGCCCCGCAATGGGGCCAGCGGCTGGTGTCCTTCGTCGAATGGGCGCGGGCCGCGGGGTGGAATCGTGCTCTGGCTGCCCGGCTGTTGGCGGCGCCGGCGTGGGCGCAGCCGTGCCTGGGCGGGCCGCCGAGGGTGATCTGCCCGGGCGCGCGCGCCGCCGCGCTGGGGTGGGGGCAGCTGCAGCCCGCGCGCGGCCGCCCGCCGCTGCCCTGATGCGTGGTCTTGGCGATCGCGCGGGCCGTGCTGCCCGCCTGCCCAATAGGGGCGCTGGCCGTCATCGTGACGTTCAAGACGCGCATGCGGCCCCTGGAGCTGTTGGGCCTCACGGCATCGCAGCTCGCCCCGCCCACAAGCCAGGAGGGGCCTGGGGCCTGCTGGGCCTTCTGCGTCCACATGGAAGAGCTGGCCGCCCGTCCAAGACGCAGGAGTTCGACTTCTCTGCGCTGCTGGACCTCGAGCGCCACCTGGTGCTCCGCGAGCTCAGAGGCACGCGCGACCGACGAGAGCGGCTGTTCGACGTCAGCCCCAGGCAGGTGCACCGCAGCTTCGCGGCCGCGGTGGGGCAGCTGGGGTCTGCTCAGTCGAGCCGACGCTCCACGCTCTACGGCGCGGCTGAGCCAGCCACGACCGCCTCGTGCAGGCGCGCTCGCTCGCCGAGGTGCAGCGGCGAGGGCACTGGCGCAGCTTTCACAGTGCGGTTCGCTACGACAAGCACGCCAGGGTCTCCTTGCAGCTCGGAGAGCTCGCGGCGGCGAAGCAGGCGGAAGTTGCCAGCCCAATGGGGCGCGGCGTCGCGCCCTTCGCCGCGCGCTGCGCCAGGCAGTTGCGCAACCTCAACCCACGCTACGGCGAGTCTTCCTAGACCTGTCCTCGGGCGCTGGTGGTCTGGCGCGGGCCTTGGCTCGTCGCAATGTGGCGGTGGTGTGTATCGACGTCGCGCACGGGGCCCAGTATGACTTGCTGTGCGACGATGTTTTTTGCATGCTGCTGGGCTGGATTCGCTCAGGCGTGGTGTCAGGACTGTGGTCGGGCACGCCTTGTCAATCATTTTCTGTCGCGAGGAGCCCCTCAGTGGTCTCGGTTGCCCCGCCAGCTGCGCAGCCCAGAGTGCCCTCTCGGTCTGCCCAATCTGGGCGCCAAAGATCGGGGGTTCGTTGCGGAAGGGAATCTGTTAGCTCAGCGCAGCGGGACATTGCTCCACGCCTGCATTGTGCGGGGCATTCCTTGCGGCGAAGAGAATCCAGCTCAGTCTTTTCTGTGGCCCTTATATGATCGACCCGAACTCAGTCAACGCAGTGCATGCACGGCTTATGTAATCGATTACTGCGCTTTTGGGACAGCCTGGCGAGCTCAAGCTCGTGCTCGCCTGCAGCTGTTCCATTGTAAATGCCCTGCTTTCCTTCAAGCTAAATGTTCGGGACGAGGTATATGTACTTTCTCCGGTAAACCGCACCTGCAACTAGATGGGCCCACGTGTTCGGGAGGTTTTCTTACGCGGCGAAAACAGGTTTACCCCGAGAGGCTCTGCGAGGTACTATCTCAAACTTTCGCTAACTCCCTCAGCCTCTTGCGTGTCAATGCTCTGTGGCCTGTTCTCGCCTCTTTCGCCCCCCCCCCCCCCCCCCGCGCCCCTCCTAATTCGGCGGGTCTCGGGGGGTTGTCCTTCGCAGTCTCCTGGTAATAGTTTTCTTTCGTCGAATAAATTAGCCAGGCCAGTGCTGACCGCGGGGGTCTGAGTGTGGGCAGTTTCGATTGTGCGTGCTCGCGCGGTCTCCGCAAACAGTGGCTTGAAAAAGAGCAACCAACATCAAGTTTGTACCCCTCGGGAATGATCTGGCCCTTGCATCCTCTTCCTCCGCTCTGCAGGCTTTTTGGCTCACCCAAAACCCTCCCACCCCCAAAAAGCTGGGGACGTTTCGATTGTGCGTGCTCACGCGGTCTCCGCAAGCAGTGGCTTGGAAAAGAGCAGCCAGCGTCACGATGCTGAGGATCAGGATGATGCTGATGATGATGCTGATGATGATGCTGATGGTGATGCTGATGGGGATGATGATGATGACGATGATGATGATGATGAGGATGAGGATGAGGATGAGGATGATGATGATGATGATGATGATGATGATGATGATGATGATGATGATGATGATGATGATGATGATGATGATGATGATGATGATGATGATGATGATGATGATGATGATCTGACTGTGATGAGGATGATGATGAGGAGGAGGAGGACGACAAGGAGGAGGGGGAAAAGGAGGAGGAGCAGCAGGAGGAGGAGGGAGGAGGGAGGACGGAGGAGGGAGGAAGGAGGAGGGAGGAGGGCGGAGGAGGAGGAGGAAGAGGAGAATGAGGAGGAGAATTCGAGGGAACAGTGAGAGAGCCACCGAAAAAGGAGGAGGAGCAGGAACATAAGCGGGAGGAGGGAGGAGGAGGAGGAACAGGAGGAGGAGGAGGAGGAGGAGGAGGAGCAAACAGGAGGAGGAGGAGGAGGAGGAGGAGGAGGAGGAGGAGGAGGAGGAGGAGGAGAAGAAGAGGAGGAGGAGGAGGAGGAGGAAGAGGGGACGGAAGCGGAGGCGGAGGAGGCGGAGGAGAATATGGATGGGTGGGTATCTTTCCGGCCAGCACCTGCAGTAAAAAAAAGCCCAGGCTTCTGCGGCCAGGCGCCTCCGAAGTTTGCCGCCGTGCGGCACTGCACGGCGTCCGTCTTCGAGGCCCCCCCCGAGGGTCTCTCGGCTCCCTCCCGCTCCCTGCCGCGTTGGTCCTTCCATCCGCCGAGTGCACCGTGCCGCGTTGGCCGCTCGCGCTCCCGAGGTGTCGTCGATCCTTGACTCAACCCAAGGCTGGTATCGTGCACAGCTCTTCGGCTTCCAGACACGCAGAACCATGCGCCACACCGCGTTGGAGCGGCGCCTGGTTGGAGTACAAAGGCGGTCTGGTGCATGGGCGCCGTCCTCGCCCTCCCGTCGAAGAAGCGCGCACATGGATGACGGCGCGCGGATTAGCAACGGGTCCCTCTTCCACGCTTAATCGACCCAGTCAGTCGTCCAACGAGGCGGCACTGGCAGCCACTGGCACCATGCTTCTGGGCGTGTTTTCCCCGATTCGTGAATCTGGCGCCCACTCGCCAGATCCACGCATCTGTAACCCGGGCCGCTGGTCCAATCTTTTTGGGTGCACGAAACGTGTGAGGGGTGTGCCCAATGTGGCATGCGGAGGGCAGACGAAGGAGGGAGGTGGCAGCGGGAGGTGGGAGTGGGACGCGCGGCGATGCGGACTCACAATAAGGATCCAACACTACAGGATGGCTTGGACAAAAATTGGCTTCCAAGACGGCTGGGCCGTTTTCGTTTCTTTCCTGACGCCCATAACTCCTGTTGTCCGCTGTGCTTCCGCTCTTGCTTCGTGCTTCTGCTCGTGTTCCTTTTCCTCTCCCACGTGGTCTTCATCGGTCGTCTTGTCGTTGGCTTCAAGACTCGTGGATTCGGTGCAAGTCGCCCATGCACTTCTGACACACCGTACCCGTCGACCGTGGAACAGCTATTTTAGGATTCTCAGATTCCTATACACTTTAGGCGCCCCCTACTTCAAGTGCCGAACGGTGTTCCCTCTTCCTTTTCACGGGGCTGGCGGACGCCGAATCTACTCTCAACGACTTCCGACTTCATATTTCGAACTATTTCTGACGACCGATGGGTGCTGCACCAAGTTTTGGCGAGCTGCGCCTGTCAGCGAATGGGTCCAGGCGGGGTTGCATCCTGGGTTTCGGACTATCAGTTCGATTTCGACGTGCGCGACTTGCAGACCTCGCCAGTGTATTGCTCTCGCGTGGCGGATGCTGGACGCTGCGCAAGATTTGGAAGATAGATAGCCGTCAGTCCTTACATTGGTCCGGCTCCTTCGATCGCACCCACTCAAAGGCAATGCAGATGAGCGACAGAGGACAACGGGGTCGGCTGCGCGGACACTCGCGCGTCAGCTGCTTGCGTAAGATGGCGCGTGAGCGCCCTCGTTTCCAGTGTAGTGTGCCGCGCTGGTAGCCCGCGTAAGCCGCGGCGCAAGGCCACCGTGTCATCGCGCTTCAGGCCCGCCTCTTCCTGTGGCGCGGCTCGGGCGAGAAGCCCAGCGCCCGAGGCCGCAGTCCGCCGGCACAGGCTTGGAGGCACTCCCGAGTACATTGGCTGGTTGGTGTTCGCGAGAGCTCTCTCTCTCTCTCTCTCGCGCTCTCTTTCTCCTCTCGTTCGCTTGTGTTTTGTCTCGCGTCATCCCATGTGTCACCCATAGCGGCGCCTCGGCGCCCCCCTGCTGTGCCCCCGCGGCACCTCGACTGCAGGCCGAATGTCCGAATGTCTTCTGGCGCGTAATGGCCGCTGCCCGGGCCGAACCCCTCCCTGGTAATGGCAACGATCGTACGTGGCGGGGGGCCCATGGACCCCCCCCCAAGTTGCTGGTTCTCGCGCGCATGCTATGGCGATCGCCGCTTACCCCCGACCCGACGTGCCCCACCCTGACCAAGCGTTACCGCTACCCGGGCCCCAACCCCTCCCCCCTCATTACAGGAAATAATTAGTTCGTTTGGCGAAGGACCCAACCATTTGCAGCTGCGAGTGCCGCGGGGAGTGTGCAGAAACGGCCCGAGGCCGCCATGCGGATCTTGCTGATGGGGCCTTCGGTGGAGCTCCCTGTGGAGCCGCGAAGCGTGAGAGGGGTGTGCCGAAATTGCCGGAGGCCGCCATGCGGACCCTGCAGCTGGGGCCTTCGGTGCAGCTCCTTGTGGAGCTGCGAAGCGTGTGAGGGGTGTGTCGAAATGGCCTGAGGCTGCCATGCGGACCCTACTGCTGGGGGCCTTGTGTGGAGCTCCCTGTAAGGCCGCGAAGCGTGTGAGGGGCGTGCCGAAATGGCCCGGCTCGAGACTTTTTCGTAATTCACTCAAGATGGTGGACGCCCATTTGCGACGACAAGGGCTCCCGCTCAATGCATCCTCACGACTTACTCCGAGAGGCCCTGGCCAGAGAGGCTCCCGAACTCAGGAACGTCGCTCTTGTTTGAGACTTCCTCGTAATTCAGTCGAGTTGGTGGAGACCCAGCCACGATGACTAGGGCTCCCGCTCGATGCTTCCTCACGGTTTGCTCCGAGAGAGGGAGGCCCCCGAATTCGTGAACGGCGCTCTCGGTAGAGTTTTCGTCGCACTTCAGTCAGTGGTTGACAAGCAAGATATTCCCCCCACAGGGGGGTGCGATCGAAGACGAAGTGGGCGGGTATCGAGGGTTGGGGTATACAAAATGAAAGACATTCGAGGGTTGGGGTATCGGTCTTCTCCAATCCGAGGGGGCCCGCGCTGATGTCAAACTTGGGTGCCTCCAGAGGCTCCGACTGGGCTCCGCAGTCACTGGCTTGCATGAGTTGCATCAGAGTGAGGCGCAATTATCATCTCTTTTGAATCGTGTCCTCCCAGGAGTTGCCATTGTTTCGTGCTTACGTGGCGAGGGCCGCGCCGGCCGCATCCGCGGTGGCGCGGCCGCCATCGTGCCCGGGAGTCTTTGCCGAGGCCAGCGAATTTCCCCCATCCCTCCTGGTGTCGCTGCCTCTGCTGAGCCTCTCATTGCTGGTCGAGTCATGCGTGTTGTCTTCGGAAAGCAAGACACGAAATTAATCCGTTGTAATGTGCGTAATCATGATTTTCCCCAGAACAAGTGAGGGTGTGTGTGTGTGTGTGTGTTTAGCCGGCTGAACTACATCGGGGCCGTAGTTTAGCCGGAGCCTCGCCTGACTCTGCCGTGCTCGTGGCGCATGGCGATTTCATTTTTTGCCGATCGTGAAAAACTGTCGCTAGCGCAGCCTGTACAGGCTCAGTGAATGCCCCGCCCATCTCACGCCCGGGCTCCTCGGTGGTATGATGCTCTCGGTTCTCTAATTGAAATCTCGCCAGCGGCTGCCTCGCACTTCGATGTCCGCTCGAGCGCCGTCGCCGCGATTGACAGATTCTAGTGCTCGTGGCCTGGTTGGGTGCTCTCTCAGGTGTTCGCCAGTGCTCGCGTTGAATGGCTCCCCGAACAGCTTCGTCGACAAAAAGTTTGTGACCGCGCAGCGTTGATTATCTCGTTCTGCCAGAGGAAACCCCGGGGGCCCTCCGAGCGCCCAATTCCGAATCACATTTGCAGGTCGCAGGAATATTGCAGCACCCTCGCCAAGTATCGATTCGGAGGCTGCCCGCTTGCAGGCCGCGCGTCCCCCCCGACGGCTTTAGCGGCAGAAGTATCTGATGCAGGAGGCTGGGGGGGAAGCGAGGGGCATGCTCGTGTTTCGCCGGCCGCTGGGCCCCAGAACGCCATTCCTTCTTGCCCGCGCCATTGCGCGCGCTGTCTGGCGCCAAGACGCTTATGCAGCTGAACGTCTGCTTGGCTCTCATGCTGCCGCTGCTGATTTTGCACGCGTGGAAGGCTCCCAGGTTTCGCCTGTTCATCCCGCGGCGTTTCAGAGCTGGCCCAACGCTGCGCAGCGGCGGGCCGCCACGCCTGACAGAGATGCCGCGCGTGCACGAGTGGAACACGCGGAGGGAGAGGGAGTCAGACAACGGGAGAGGCAACAGTTGCAGGCGATTTAGAGGAGGGCTAGGATATGGGCACCTTTCGCACGTCGGCCTACCTTGCGCGCTGTCATCGTGGATGGGGTTAAGGTGGGGGAGGACGTGGGTAGACACCCGGCACTGGCATCGCACTGGAGACCGATCTTTGCTCGAAAACCGTGGCCTCGAATGACGGCGCCCACTTATTGTGGTCGATTCGTTCGCCCCGTCGATGGCGCAACTGCGCCGCCGCCGGCGTTGTCCATGATGAAACGGGTTCCCCAGCCAGTGAGTGACTCGGCGCCTGGAGTTGACCGTCTCTGCTACGCTGCCCGGCTTGCTCACCCTAGCTGCCTCGTCCTTTTGCGCGACGTGCTGCTCTGGGCGCTCGCTGGCAACTATGCGTTCGCTGCCGAGAGCGCGGCGCCCCAGGCGTTCCCGCCCAAGTGCGAATCCAGCGCGGATGCGATTCAGGGAGGATGTGAGAGGGGGGCTTCGGCGGCGAGAGTTCTCGGTCTTCGCAGCGCCAGTGTGAAGTTGCTCGCGGCCACTTTGAACGCGGCCACCCCCCGCCCACATGCATGCTTCGTTCCCGCTGATCAGAGGGGGTTCATGAAGGGGGGGAACTGTTGCCAAAACATCTTAGTGGTGGACGTTCTCGCTTGGGTGCATTCCTCGTTCCTGGAGGCCGACCACCAGCGCCCTCTGATCTACGCGCTGGATTACGGCCGCGCGTTCCCGAGCTTGTCTCAGAAGTTCGTGCTCTTCGTTTTTCAGAAGATGGGATGTCCAGTTCCGCTGATCAATTTCGCGATGGTCCTGTATGGCAGCATCGACGGGGTGATGTCGGTCCAGGGGCAGTTGGTTCACGCTTTCTGGATTCGGTCTGGCATTATCCAGGGATGTGCGTTATCGGGGTCTTTGTTTGCGGCCGCTCTGGCCCCTGTGCCACTGGGCCCCCGCGAATCTTGCGAGGCCCCCAAGAATGACATCAACCGCGCCCGTGGCGACGACTTGGGCGGAGCCTTGTCGGACATGCGTCTTTTGCGGCAGTTGCGGAGAGTGATGAAGGTCGGCGAGACCACCGCTCACATGTGCCTGAAGCCCGCGAAGTGCGTGCTGACCCCAGTCTCTGGCCCCGTGACTCCCGAGCTCAAGACGCGCGTCCAGGATTTCCTGGGGATGTTCATCCCCGAGTGGCCCCAGTTCCGCGTCGAGTCGAAACTCTTCTACCTGGGGATGTGGATGGGCCCTGCCGCCGAGCTTGAAGATTCCTGGTCTCTCCCTCGTGCTAAGTGCAAAGGCCGCGCTGCTGCGATCGGCGCGGGAAACGCTCCAGCATCTTCCTCGGCGGTGCTGCACGCTGCCCGCCGCGTCCCTGCGTTGAGCGACGAGATGCAGTTTTTGCCGCTGCCGCCGCAGATGAAGGAGCAGGAGAGAGGAGCCCTCGCTCAGACCTTCCGCCTCCCTCGCGAGTGGACCCGTCTTGGAGAGTGGGGCGGCCCCCGTGCATGCCCCCTGGAGGCCCCCAGCATCGCGTCTCTCGCTCGTTCGGCTACCTCGACTCTCCCTGAGTGTGGGCGGCTGTATGGTTGGCTTGTGAAGCTGACCGACATGCTCGAGACACCCAGCACAGACGACAGGCGTCTGACTGTTCTCCCGCCTGGAAGGCGGTACCCTGGACATTGGACGTCTCGCGTGTCGAATATGTTTGTCATGGCGCTGCTGCTGGCGCGGGCGGCCCTGCGCGCGTCGCTGCTGCCCGTGCCCGCCGAGAAATGGAGGCGAAGCCCCAGCGCGCTGCGAAACTTGCCTGCGTAGAGTGCTGGCAGTCTGATAGCCTTGAGTGCTCGTGCACAACTCGCCCGATGAAGTGGTGGCCCTAACGGGCCGAGGAGATCATGGCCATCGATTGGCCTGCCGCCCGATGCGTTGTGAAATCTGCTCCCCCGTCGTGGGCCTGGGCTTGGCACCACGCGATGAATGGGGGCTGCCTTGCGCCCCATTGAACTCTGAGTGAGAACGGCCGAGTAGGGTGCGTTTTCGGATGTGAGTGTGAGCTTGGGCAGCAGTCTCACTACGCCGTTGGCCCGCGTCTTGTACGGCCAATTTCTGGCGTTCTCAGATATCGATGGCTGCCCCCCCGAAGATGGGGGGTCCTTGATTGCGCCGTCCCTGTTCTTGATGAAATGTGTCTTGCTTTTCATGTCTAGCATTCTCTCCGCCCCCCTCCCTTCCGCTCATCTCCGCCCCGCCACGAATCTGGGCGCCGCCTACGCGGCCTTGCGGGAGCTCCGCCCCGCCACGCCCAACGAGACACGGGGTGGGTGGGCTGCAGGGCAGGGTGGGACGTCGTCGTCGTCGTCGTCGTCGTCGTCGTCGTCGTGATACGCTTGCCTCTTCCTCCTCCTCCTCTTCTCCGTAGCCATGTTGGCTCCAGCCAGCTTGGGTTCAGGCTATTTAGGCTCAAGCCAATGTGGTTCAGTCTGGATCGCGGTCTGCATTGCCACGAATGCAGTCTCCGACAGTAGTCGCGCAAAGATGGGGCATGGCACTGCATCGTCTTACCATCGCGGCAGACGTGCTCCACGGCTCGGGGTTGTCCCAGCTTTGCTCGCGGCGTCATTCGGATGCCCGCTGCGGTATGTTGCATCTTCTGTGAGGCTCAGAATTGTTGTATCCACGCAGCGCGGGCATGAACATGTTTTGAGGGCAAGGTTTCGAGCAGCTTGTTATAATGCCCGCTTCGCTGGATCAGTGAAGGTCTACGCTGGAGAGGCTTCGGCGTCTGCTTACCCCAGCGTTGCCATGCGCGCCAGAGATGCCTTATGGTCTTGCACTGATGCGGTGGATGTTCTTGGATTGCCTGCGAGCGTTTCGCAGTCTGACATCAAACCACCGATTCCGTCAGCTAGTTGCCACAGAACACACCGAAATAACCCAGGCGACCATCAGGCAGGGGCCAAGTTTGTTGACATCGTGGCGTCGCACCAGCGTCCCAGAGAGCCTCCGAATCCACCAGAGTCCATCACCAGTGGCGTCGATGTTGGATTGGGCGGGGGCGAACTTGCTGAAGAGATCCGCGAATTATGAGAGGCTACGAAGGGTACTTCGGACGCAGTCCGCGCCGTAGCTACAATCAGTATTGCTCTCGCCCTTCTCACACAACCCGTAGGAATCTGGCTAGACATGAAATAGGTGGCACACCATGCACCAGCGGATCCATCGGCATGCATTGGTTCGAGCAGCTGGTGCAGCTGAGATGCGTCGGGGAATTCGCCTTCGGAGACGTGGAAGCGTGTGTGCGTGGCGGGCGCAGTTTGGTTGACGCCACCAGTTTGATTAAGGCTAATCGGCGTGATCGCGACGATATTGTCTTGATGGTCGGCCAAGGTTAGCTAGTCAGTTTTCTTGTCACGAACTGTTTCGCGTATGATTAGTTGGGCAGTGGTGTTGGCGCTAGGCGTTCTCTTCTTCCTCTTCCGCCTTCTACCCCTCTCCGTAGCCATGCGGGCTCACGCCATTTTGTCTTGTCTTGGCTGAAGGAGGAGGAGGACGAGGAGGATGAGGGTGAGGATGAGGATGCGGAGGAGGAGGAGGAGGAGGAGGAGGAGGAGGAGGAGGAGGAGGAAACGGAGGAGGAGGAGCAGGAAGAGGATGATGTTCTCGAACGAACGCGAGGGAGGTCAGAAGAGGGGAATGCATAGTAGGGAAGGCAGGAGGAGGTAGAGCAGGAAGATGAGGAGGAGGAGGAACAGGAGGGGGGAGGAGGAGGAGGAGGAGGAGGTGGAGGAGGAGGAGGAGGAGGAGGTGGAGGAGGAGGAGGAAGCGGAGGAGGAGGAGGAGGGAGAGGAGGAGGAGGAGGAGGAGGAGAGGAGGAGGAGGAGGAGGAGGAGGAGGAGGAGGAGGGAGGGAGGAAGGGGGAGGAGGAGGAGGAGGAGAAGGGGGAGGAGGAGGAGGAGGAAGAGGTGGAGGAGGCGGAGAAGAGGAGGAGGAGGAGGAGGAGGAGGAGGAGGAGGGAGAGGAGGAGGAGGAGGAGGAGGAGAAGGAGGAGAAGGAGGAGGAGGGGGATTGGCAACAACAGAGGGGAGTGGCCGCAGCAGTAGGGAGCACGGATGGGGGAGCTTCTCCTCCTTTTCCTCATCCTCCTCCTCTTTTTCTGTCTTCTCTTCTTTGTCCTCCTCCTCCTCCTCGTCCTCCTCCTCCGCTTCCTCCTCCTCCACTTTCCTCCATGACTGGCGACGATCTTGCCGACAAGTATGTCAAACATTATGGGTCTTGGCGCAAGAAAAGCTGAGCCCTGTACAGCAGGATTGGTTAGATGCGAACATCGGCGTTTCTCGTAGAGTGAGCATCCTGGCGGCGAGGCTGATCCCACATCGTCCTGCATGCGATTTGGCATCAGCCACTCGCGTCAAGGTTGAGCCTCCTCTGAGCACAGTTAGGTGTTGGCATGTTTGGAGACAGGCTGGTGAACCTTGGCAATGTGGCAACTACCTCCGTCTACGGAGGGATGGCCAGTCGATGAATTCGCTCGCACAAGGGAGCGTCGTTTCTTGCAGGGTCAGTTGGGTAGCCTTGGGCTCAATGGCCCGGGGCTCGCCTATTCGGGCGGAGGCATTGTGTGTGTTTGTATTCGTCGTAAGGCCTTCTCGGCAGGCAGCTCAGTGGTATTTTAACCAACAATGCCCAGGCCAACCTCACAACCTCAGGAGGTTCATGAACAAACGGAGCAGGATCTGCGCTGGCAGGGGCACCCGAAGTTAAATAACGTTTGGCTTGACATGACTGCTCTCAGTCTGGACCGTCTCTTCGATAAGCCTGTCCACCGTGCGTCGGCGTCCTGATCTCGTGGCCCCAGGGGCACTCGCCTGATCGTATCGGCGCGCTAGCATGTATGCGTGCTGCGCCAGCGTTCATTCATTGTCCCGAGTGCTCAGATGTGTGGACAGAGCGACTAACATTCTTCTTCTTTTTCTTCTCCCTCTTCTCCTTCTCCTCCTATTTCTCCTAAGGTCACTGGCGCTCCTCCTCCTCCTCCTCGTCCTCCTCCTCCTCCTCCTCCTCCTCCTCCTCCTCCCCTTCCTCCTCCTCCTCCTCCTCCTCCTCCTCCTCCTCTCCCTGTTTGACACTTGCTAATCATCTCACTTTCGCCGCAGTGTTCGCCACGCTTCGCGCGGCGACGGCTTGCTACCTGACCGATACTACACCTGAGCTGCAAAACCTACCCACCTACCTGTCTCTTTTAACTCCTCATCCGTATCCTGCTGCTGCCGAGCCGCGCCGCAGGGGCCGCTGACGAGCAGGGCCCCCCCCCCCCCCCCTTCTCCTCATTCTCCCTCCTTCCTCCTTCTCCTCCCTCCTCCTCTCCTCCTCCTCCTCCTCCTCCTCCTCCTCCTCTCCTCCTCCACTCTTCTCCCTTCTCCTCTCCTCCTCCTCCTCCTCCTCCCTCCTCCTCCTCCCTCACCTCCCTTCCTCCCTCCCTCCCTCCCTCCCTCCCTCCCTCCCTCCCCGCCTCCTCCCTCCCGCCCTCCCTCCCCCTCCTCCTCCCTCCCCCCCTCCCCTCCTCGCGCGCCGACAGCATGTCGCTCGCGACGCCCCTGCTTGAGGAGAACCAGTCCAGCCTCCAGGTCCACGACGTCAAGGATGTCCAAAGCGAAAACGACGACCGCGACAGGCGCGACGCCCACGACGAGCCTGGACGGCCATAACGGCGGCAAGGACCCCAGTGCTCCTGACAGCAATGACGCTAGTTCCCACACCCAGCGCCAGCGCCCACACCAGTTCCCACGACAGCACCGACACTCCCACCTCCAGTCGCCACTGGACGCTCCGCCCAGATCTGAGCCTTGCGCCGCTGCCTGGCTTTCCGGCCACGGTCGCAAGGCACGGCGCACCGTCGCCGACTCACGACCGCACACCAACTCGGCGCGAGCCCTGTTAAACTATCCCAATGGCGGCAGCAGGAGCTAGAGAAGGAGCAGCGACACAGCACGACGACGACAGTGCACACAGTTTCGACTCCTCCCCATCGCGAGCATCAGGAGGAGACATAGGAGGAGCATCGACGTGCACGTGCTTTTTTGACATCATGGATCGCGATGCCTAGCGGATACCCTCAGCACGACACCTAACAACAACACGACGAGCTCCAGCCGTACGACGTTTAGCAGTACGATGGGGACAGGTAACACGACGCTATCCAGCACGGCGTGCTCCATCAATACGACGGCGTTCAGCTGGACATGGCGCAGCATTGCGAGCCTGTACATCTACGAGTGAAGTGCGCGATGGATGCCAGCATCACGACTCTGCGCAGCACGACGGGCTTAAGCAATTTGACGCTGAGCTGCACGACGGGTACGATTAGCATTACGCAGAGCAGCACGTCCAATTCGCTAGCCCCGACGCCGGCCCCGACTTCCTCCACGCAGCTAGGAACTACCACGGCGCCGGACACGTCGAAGTCAATCGCCACGTCGTCTGCATCTGGACGGCGGAGTTGTGGTGTCTTTCGGTTTACGGGGTGGTGACAGGGTCACTCACATGGACGCCATGAGGATGCCCTTCGGCTTTACCTTCTGCGGGCGGCCTCAGCTAGAAGCGCCTGGGCCCCTCCTCCCCTCCCGCTTCCTTTCTCCCTTTGCCCTTCCTCCTGTTAGATGTTGCATGTTAGGTATTTCGTAGGGCTGCGTTATGCATGTTACATGTTGCATGTGAATGTGGCCTCCCAACGGCCACGGTCAGCCGACCCCGGGTCTCTCTGCCGCGAGTTTGGTTTTCTGCCGCCTTTGGGGGTTCGGCCATTCTGGGGCACCTCG